AGGCGGATTTTGGCCGCCTTCGGCCTCCGGGGGGGGGGGCCCTGGCCGGGCCTCCGGGAGCGTCCACAAGACGACGCAGGACGAGGCACCGGCCCTGGGGAAGTGGTCGGGACCTCCGGGGCCCACGCGTCGAAAAAATTGGAGCGGCGGCATGTCTGGGAAGGGGAGCGCGCGCGCGAAAGGTACCCTCGAGGTTTTCCTGCGCCACAGTCGGCCGACCACAAGCTATTTTCTTTTTTTGCCTCCACCCCAACATGATCCAAACGCAGTAGAAACATGTTAGCGCCTCGGCCTGTTCAGCGACACGGGTGGCACTACACAAGCTGTGTGTGTGTGTCAGAGATCATCCGCGTGCCAGCACTCCAAGGGCTCCTGGGAGACGCAATTCATGCATCCGCTGGCGTGGTCTGCGCGCCAGTCCCTACCAATGCAGAATCAACAGCACTGTCGTCTGTCATGAACGCCAGCGAGATGAGCAGGCTTTATCCCCCCTCGAGAAAGAAGGGAGACAGGAGGAAAATGGGAGCTGGACAACGGCGTTGCGAGTGCAGCGCCTACGGTCTGGCTTGCCATCGACACAAAACCCACAACGGAAGCCAGGAGGAGAAAGACAGAGGGAGGCGAAGGGGAGCGAGAGAGGGAAGAGATAATCAAACGAGCATCCACAGAAAGATATCACCTCGCGGGCGCGAAGAACACACACACACCCCGAGCAGTGACGGAGGCGGCACCAGCAGGGAAGCCCCACGGAAGCCAAGAGCTGACACTTCAGGCTCGGGCCGCCCGTCAGAAAAGAGGGCCACGCACGACATAACATTGCGGAGAGAGGCTGTGCCACAGCGCGTGCGATGTGCGCTAGGCTTCCTGTAGTTAATGTCCCCTCCTTCCTCCTCCGCCTCGGTCTCCTCCCTCCTCTTCGCTGCTGCCTCCTACACATTCCCCTTTCCTGCCCGTTCCACACACACACACACTCCTCCTCCTCCTCCTCCTTATCCTCATCCTCTTCCTCCTCCTCCTCCTCCTGCTCCTCCATCTCCTCCTCCTCATCCTCTTCCTTCTCTTCCGATCCCCTCCGTATCTTGCTCCTCCCTCCCCATCTCCCCCTCCTGTTCCTCCCTCCTCCCGGTCACCATTCCACCTGCTGCTCCTCATAAAGTCTATCTATATCACCACCATCACCATCACCATCGTCATCATCAGCATCACCACCACCAACATCACCACCACCATCATCATCACCATCACCATCGTCATCATCACCATCATCGTCATCATCACCATCATCGTCATCATCATTATCAACATATGCATCTGCATCGTCATATGTATATCCATCTTCATCTTCATAATCGTCATCATCACCATCATAATCGACATCACCATCATTATCGGCATCACCATCATCATCACTATCAACAGCATGAACATCGACGCCAACATCATCACCGTCATCATCATCACCACCATGATCATCATCAAATTCATCACCATCACCATCATCCTCATCCCCATTCTCATCACCATCACTGTCACCACCATCGTCACCAATACCATGATCATCGTCATCGCAATTATCACCGTCATCACCGTCATCACCACCATCATCATCATCGTCGTCGTCCTCAGCACCGTCATCACCATCACCACCATCAGCATCATCAGGATCATCGTCAACGCCAATATCATCACAACCATCACCACAATCATCATCAGACTTATCATCGTGATCATCACCAGCATCACCACCGCAATCATCACTCAACATCATCAACTACAAAATCATCATCATCATCCTCATCCTCATCTTCAGCACCACCACTATCATCACCATCAGGATCATCTTCATCACCACCACCGTCAGTATCATCGCCATCACCATTATTATCATCATCGAAATCATCATCATCACCATCACCATAATCATCATCATCAACATCAACCTCAACATCATCACCATCATCACAGCCATGATGAGCATCATAACCATTACCATGATGATGATGATCATCATCATCATCATCATCATAATCATCACCATCATCGCCATCATCATTATCAACCTCATCCGCATCCTCATCACTGTCCTCATCACCACCACCATCTTACCATCATAACCCTGATCTTCATCATCAGTATCAGCATCATCCGCATCATCACCAACATCAACATCACCATCAACATCAACAGCACCATCATTACAATCACAGTCATCCTCATCACCATTATTGACATCGACGCAAGCATGATCACCATTATCACCATCACAACCGTCATCATAACCATCACCCGCCATCATCATCGCTATCAACGCCATTGTCATCAACATCATCATCACACCATCATAATCAACATCATCATCAACATCATCATCATCATCATCAACGTCATCATCGTCGCCATCATCACCAACATTACCACCATCATCATCACTGCCCTTACCCCCATGCTCATCAACATCACTATCACCATCATCATCTTCATGCTTACCCTCATCACAGTC